TGATAAGAAAGACAAAAAGGTGTAGATGTGATAGTACTTAGACTATCAGCAGAACATAAGAGAAAGAACTGGAGAAAAATCACAAAATAAAAAGACCTGCAAACAGAAGTAGAACAAGTGTGACAAAAGAAAGCCAAGATAGGACCTGAAGTGAATATGAAAATCTACTTGAATTTACACTTCATTATATGGAGTCTAATTATGGAGCCGATCAATCTCAAGTGATAACTAAGTTGAACTTAATTTTTTAACAAGCTTGAATTTCAAACCATGTGTAAGGAAATACATGAAAAGAGGGAGAATTTGTTCTGGTACAATCCCAAAACAATTGGAGCACTTGAACACATCAACATTGACAAAAATCATTATCAGTCAATTGCAAAAGGCAGCAAATACTTGGAACTGCTTATATCCTATGATTATACCTCTAACACCATCAAACAATAATGTTTGCTTATCCCAGGTCCTTGGTAATGACTTAGTAGGTGGATAAAAATGCCAAATCCAATCTAAACATGCAACAAACCACAGTTATATTTTTTCTGGTCTGGTTTTGGTCAGTGGTAGAATTCAAATAATTTAACAACCAGTTCTCTACCCTAATGATTTCTTCCAACACCCAGTTCACCAAACTGCTCAGAAACTTAACCATCAGTTCTCCCGAAGTAGTGTGAACTGACTGAATCCCACCACTGGTTTTGATCCTTGCAATATATTTCACGTTCAAGTGTCTTCACTGGATTTGGTTGTATTGCGCTGTTCTTGTCATCCTTTACAGTAGTTTGTTGCTGAATAGATTGTGCTGAATGCATTTGCAAAAGACAGCTCTGTATTGTTTAGCTATCTGAAGACGCCAATATTACATTCCAACGAATTCTACATATATACTTGCACCTTTGGGGGCTACACCTAATCATAGTGAATATTTTGAAAATAATACACTTTTGTCAATATTTGCTGTAGATAAAATCAATATAACCAGGCTAGACAGCGAGAGAGCAAAAATTCTAGTCCTGCCTTAAGTACAAAGAAAGCTGAGTGGACTTGTACAGTCAGTCCTTCTCAACATTAGGAAGAAGACAAGGGCAAGTCGTTTCTGAAATCTTGACAAGAAAAATGCAGGGTCTAGTCCAGGCAGCCACCCAGAGTCAACAATGACTCAAAAACGTACCAAAAAAAAAAATCCAACAGCTGTAATAGGTATATGACATTGGTTTGGAGAGTACGGTATGAACTACGGTATATCAGGGTTTGTTTAGCAAGGGTCTGTCTTCTCATTGGAAATATATTGCTCCTTGAGTTATATGTATGTTTGTCCTGAATATATGTAGTCACATCTTCCCTCATCCACCATTTGGTTGACTGTAAGTACTCAGTGAATGTTTTGGGTTTAATGACATTTTCTAAGAATTTCTCAGTTGAAAAATTCAACATCGCATGCGCGTCCTCTCTTTATTGCCATTTGTTTTTTGCAGCTTGAATAGCACGAATACTTTAAAGCCTTGATAACAAAGGAATAATACAGATAGTCCCTGACTCACATCCATTTGTTTAGCGACTGTTTCAAAGTTACAACAGCACTGAAAAAAATGACTTACTCTATGACCAGGAGCTTATGAAAACCATACTTATGACTACTGCAATATCCCCATGGTCAAAATCAAAATGATCAAAATGATCAAAATCCAGGTCTTAGCAACTACCATGTATCTATGACAATTGCAATGTCTCACGGTTATGTAATTACCAGTGGTGGGTTTCAAAGTGGTTTACCACCAGTTTTGTGGCTGTGGCTTGGTGGGCATGCTTTGTGCATGTACATACACTTTGCACACACACACGTGCCAAATGCATGCTTTGCGCACATGCAGAGGCTTTCAGACTCACCTCGTGCAATCCTGCACTTTCCCTGTGTCTTCAATAGTTGACATGCAGCAATCTGCTGTGCCGCACAAAGCAGCCGCGCTTCAAAAGCAAGAAATAAAGGTCAGTATGGGAGCCTGGGCGGGCAGGTGGGCCCAACAGCTGATCATCGGAACAAAACGGTTCAATCCCCACTGATCTTCGGAGCTATCGGCTCGGCAGAACTGGGTCGAACTGGTAGCATCCCGCCTTTGGTAATTACGATTTGCAACATCCCAGCCAACTTCTGAAAAACAAAGTCAATGGGGGAAGCTAGTCATTCACTTAATTTCTACATTATTAACAACTGCAGTGATTCACTTAACAACTGAGTCAAGAAAGGTCATAAAATTGAACACAATTTATTTAACAGTTGCTTTGCTTAGCAATGGAAATTCTGGTCCCAATTGTAGTTATGAATTGAAGAAGTGAAGATGTAATGATGTCTTCATTTTTTTTATACAGTGCAACATTTGCCCTTCAGTAGTGACTTTTTTTCCTGTTCTACCCTGCAGTACAGAAAGTAGGGAAGGAAAGAAAACGACTAAGTTGCATCTGAGTACAAATATTGACTTTAAAAAAAATTACAGGTCCCATTGTTGAATTGGGAAAAATATTTTATAGATGAACCTTTCCTTTGAATTACTCTTTGAAAATAATGAGACCACATTGGAAGTACAATTAAAGTTCTTCTTGATGAACAGCTACTCGTTTTTCTATAGAGGTTCCCTTTCATCCCAGTCACAATTGTCCCAAAGGCACTTTTATTTAAAGGCACTTGGAGTTTCTGATTTTTTCTTTAAGATATTTCAGTTCTCATCCAAGAAGCTTCTTCAGTTCTTACTAAGATAGGCTTGAGATACAGAAGGATCTTGACAGACTTGAACACTGGGTGCTATCTAAAAGTAAGGCTCTACATTTAGGCAAGAAAAATCAAATGCACAGGTACAGTTTATGTGGCATCCTGCTCAACAGTAGTAACTGTGAGAGGGATCTTGGAGTCCTAGTGGGCAATCATTTAAATATGAGCCAGCAGTCTGCTGCAACTGCCAAAAAAGCCAACATAGTTCTAGGCTGCATAAACAGAGCAACAGAATCAAGATCATGTGAAATGTTAATACCACTTTGTAATGCCTTGGTAAGGCTACACTTGGAATACCGCATTCAGTTTTGGTCGCCATGATGTAAAAAAAGATGTTGAGACTCTAGAATGCAGAGAAGAGCAACAAAGATGGTTAGGGGACTGGAGACTAAAACATATAAAGAATGGTTGCTGAAACTGGGTATGTCTAGTTTGGTGAAAAGAAGGACTAGGGGAGACATGATAGCAATGTTCCAATATCTCAGGGGTTGCCAAAAAGAAGAGGGAGTCAAGCTATTCTCCTAAGCACCTGTGGGTAGGACAAGAAGCCATGGATGGAAACTAATCAAGGAGAGAAGCAATCCAGAACTAAGGAGAAATTTCCTGACAGTTAGAACAATTAATCAGTGGAACCACTTGCCTCCAGAAGTTGTGAATGCTCCAACACTGGAAGTTTTTAAGAAGATGTTGGGTAACCATTTGTCTGAAATGGTATCCTGCCTAAGCAGGGGGTTGGACTAGAAGACCTCCAAGGTCCCTTCCAACTCTGTTATTCTATTCTATGTGAGAGGACACAGATTATTAGCACCAAGGTAGTTTCAACAACCCTCAGACTGTTGACCGGCTGTTTGAAGAGAGTATAAACGCCTTCCATGCCCCTCAAGTTAGTTAGAATTGAAGAAGCTTCTTGGATGGGAAGTGAAATGTCCTAAAGAGAAACCAGAAAGTCCAGTTGTCTTTAAAATAAAAGCATCTTTGAAGCTTCTCATTTGCTTTGGGTTTTCCTCACTTTTCTGTTGATTTTAGTACTTCTGCCATTCACCAGGTGATTGTTACTATAAATTCCACTGCAGAGAACACTGAATGAATATGGAATCATAGTCTACCCTGCTTAAATGTTAAGTTAAATGAAGTCTGGTAACATTCTTGACAGGAGCTCTTGAGGGGTGCTTCTATCAAAAAGTCAAGGTAGTGACAGGAGTGGTATGATCAAATCCCCATTTCTTTTTATACGCACTTTTTATACACATTTTATATGCTCTGTGTGAAAAGCTACAGAGCTTCAACCACACAATCGTGGCCCTCCTCTTGACTTTTTTCACTTTTACAGACAACCCCACTTTGTGTTTTCCACTGTCCTCAAAGCTAGCAGAATGCACGTACTGAAATTTAGAATAGTTCTTTTTTTTTTAAAGGCACACTTTATAAAGCCATGATCAACATTTACAGCATTACCTGTTCAGGAATTTAGTACTTAAAATATTACTGGCAGGATGACACATTGTACTGAGGCAGTCTGGTTTTGCTTTGTGCAATATAATCAACCCCTGGGGTTTGTAATCCTGTAATCCTCCAATTGGTTTATAATTTAGTGGTTATGTGTGAACCCAAACAATTGTACAGGAAATTGTACAGGGTTGTTCAGGAAATGATGCTACTTAAATAGAACATCATGAGATTAATATATTTATTAAATTTACCGTAGGTAATGCTACATTCTCATGTACTTTCTGCAGGACAGCTGAATCCAAAATCATTATGCACACCCACATCCTAAGATTGTGCAAAACATCTTTAAACTTTTATAGAAATAATCTATTTTCGAGCTGGCTTTATAAGCATCCCCTTTTTTCTTTTCAGACATATCCAGGGTTCTGCTTCCTCCTCATTCCCAGAAAAAAGGGGGGGGGGGGAGGGACAAAAAAGAAGCAAGACCAACAAGCATTGAATTTGTCTTAGGAGACTCTTTCCCTCATTTCTTTAATTGCTCAGAATGGTTAAAAATAAAGGTATAAAAAGAATGGTCCTGTGTACGGAGGGTACCCTGTGTGCTCGTTTGGCTTGTTTGTGTAGGCCCTGCAAGTACTTCAGTTCTTAAAACACACACACACAAACACACGGCGGTGGGGGGACGGAGTAAATAGGAGCGGGGTAAAATACTCCTTGCGGAGAAACAGCTTAAATTAGAACGAGGAGCTCCAGAACTTCGGCTGAGCTCCGCGTTCCTCCTCTTCGGGTTCTCAGCTATTTGTTCAAAGCGAAAACAATACGTCTGAAGAAGAGGGGGGGGGGAAAACCCTCCCTTTCGCGCCGCTGATAGGCTCCGCCAGAATAGCAACAGGCCGGGTCAACGAAAAGGGCAAAGCCTGCGGTAGCGGAAAGAAAAGTTACTCGCGGATCGCTGTAGTAACTTTCAGATTTCATCCTGCTGCCATGAGCAGGGAGGCGAGACTCATCGCGGTCTGGAGCGCCTGGCGAAGGCGGCCCTCCTGTAAAGGCGTCTGAGTCTCGAAGGGCCCCTGAGCTTTTTCAGGCTCCAGCCATGTTACTCGGGCAGAACAAGGAGGACCTCCGTCCGAAAAGCCAGAGCGAGACAGAAGAGGGTACCGCATGCACGAGCCTTCACGAACCTCCAGCTCAAACAGGTAAAACAGCCGAATCCGGATTGCGGTCATGCCTGCAGACTTAACAGATGCAGAAAAATGCGCGCCTGTAACTTTCCAGTTTCAAGAAACAGAACAACAACGAGGGGCAAAACAAAATATCTCGGAAACTTTGCAATCGTTTTGTCAGCTCCACTTTCTTATTCCTGTCTTTTTTTAGAAAGGTGCTGGACGTTTACACTATAGGTATATGTACATTTGGCGATCAGAGGAGGCAGAAGGAGAAAGAATTCTGCTTGTTCTATTTTAGTTTGGTAGCATTTCTGTGTGGTGTGTATAAAACTGAGCAAAGACAGGCAGGGTGTGCGCCTTGGAATCAGTCTTGATTTCTAATGATTTCCAGGAAAATCCCTGCGGTTTTCTTGGCATGATTTCAAAAGTAGTTTGCCATTGCCTCCTGCCTCTGGTTGAAGGAGAGTGACTGGCTGAAGTTCGCTAGCTGGCTTAGTGTCTGAGGCAGCACTAGAATGCAAGCCCCCCAATTTCTAGCCTGAAGTCTTAATCGCTATGTATATCAACTCGCTCTCATTTAAACAATAGGTTTTAATACAGTTTTTTTAATACAGTTTTAATGCAGTTTTTCCTGGTCCAGTTAAGTCTCCTTCTGCTACAGCACTTTGATCCTTGAACAATGAATGGCCTTTGCATCAGTTTGCATGTGAGGGCAGGTTGTTTATCTTGCACCTATTTTATTTCCTGGTTTAATTGGACAGACAAGGTACCCAAACTTATTGCAAGATTTATTATAACCTAGAATGACTGTTGTGCTCTTTGCAGTACACCATGAAAACAACACCTGCCTCTCTTGAAGCTTCAATTCTTCATCTGACTATGGTTGTCTTTCCAAATGTTTGATGATGATTCTGGCTCTGATTTCAGAGCACAGCAAGACTGGTATCATCTGTGTTTTCAAAAACCCTTAAGATTGCAATGTCATTATTGTTCCATTTTGTTTATGCCTCCTTGGGTCTTTTGCAGATTTCCAAAAGTAACACAAAAGAGCTACATGGGGTGGATTCACAATGTGCTGATGCTAAGGATTTAACTTTCACATGACAGCTGAGATACTTGGAATGGCTTGTGCAGATGACTGTTTTCAATACACACACAAATCCTTTTAGGAAGCACTTCTGTTCTAGCCAGTGAATTCATCAAATGCCCTCTCTTAAAAGCCTGCAGCAAGGAATGTGGGAGGTTGGAAGAGAACTTGTGTTGGTACGAGATAAGGACTAATGGGTATGGTTGATTAACCTTGACTACTTGCTAGATTAGTTAATTGAGGAAAGAACATGGGCAGGATCAGCCCCCTCCTTTTAAGTAAGCAGGGAGTAGAATTTCATGGAAAATGGCATAGGAGATTAACAGAAGGAGCAAGTACACAGGTAGTCCTCGACATACGATGACAATTGAGTTCCAAATTTCTACTGTTAAGCAAGACAGTTCTTAAGTGAGTTTTGCCCCATTTAGCGACTTTTCTTGCCACAGTTGTTAAGTTAGTGACATTATTATTAAGTGAATCTGGCTCCCGCATTGACTTTCCTTGACAGAAGATCACAGAAAATGATCCCATGACCTCAGAATATAAATATGAGTCAGTTGTCCAGTATCTTAATTTTGATCGTATGATCATGGAGATGCTGCAGCCGTGGTTAAGTGTGAGGAATGGTCATAAGTCACTATTTTCAATGCCATTGTGACTTTGAACGGTCACTGAATGGTTGTAAGTCGAGAACTAACTGTAATTAGCACCAAAAAACCCCCACCCCCAATCTCCCCCAACTGGATTCTGGGTTACGTCGGCTTAAAGGACAGAGTGAGGTTGGAAGTAATAGTCGGAGGGGATTATTGGGAGCTAAAACAACTGCCTCCTCAAAGAGGTCGAGCGGTGTTTACCTTCTTCCGTTGTAAACAACCCAGACACGGAGCTGCCAAATGTCCTATACCTCCTTTGACTGTTGCCAGACTAACACAGAAGTCACCCTAACAGAGGGAGTACTCGCTCTAATCTTAAACAAAGTCAGGAGCGTTCCAGGGGCGTGATCCAATTGGCAGCAAATATGGAACAGGAGCGCTCCCCTGAAGAAGTGCCACCTATTCCTGTGAAGCCTTTACTTTTGGTGTTAGTGACCATCTCCAGAGTTCAGGGATCCCTACCTGAAAAGGTCCCATGTCTTCATTGCCTCCATCTCTTAACATCTCTTAACGTACTTCCCATCTCACCTCAAACCCTGAAGCTGCCAAGCTCGCTTCCCTAGCAAGTGTTTTTGATGGGGGCCATGTCAGTCCTTTGCTTTGTTTGATAACAGCATTCTGGTAATGGGAGGGAATGGGACCCATATATTGAATGGGTCAGGTTTGTTGTGGCTTATGGTATTCTTTCATTAGACCAGTGTTTCTCAACCAGCTTGAGAGCCAGTTTGGCCTAGTGGTTAAGGAGACTGTAAGTACAAGTCCTGCCTTAGCCATAAATTAATGGCCTTTTGGCCAGTCACATACTCTCAACCAAGCTCACTACCACAGGGTGGTTGTTGTGAGGAAAATAGATGGAGGAAGAAATGTTGGATATGTTATCTGCCTTGAGGTATTTGTAAAAATAATAAAGGTGAGAAATAAGTAAAGCAAACCTGGGCAAACCTAGGATGTGTGGACTTCAACTCCCAGAATTCCACAGCCAGCATATTGTTGCTAAGGTTGAGAAACATTGTATTCGACAACTGGCAGATATCCGTTGTTCTCACTTAAAGAGACATCACACAGTCAACACAATGGATATTGACCGTTCTGAATTTGAGGGCCGCAGCATCTGTCCCAGAATGACATTCTCAGATGGTAGGTTTGGGTAGAGGTAAAAATTGTGTTGGTTGATAATGGTCTAAATGTGGATTAGATTTAGATTATTCAGTACCTTATATCCAGTTATATGTAAAATAACTGGTTTCCCCCCCTGAAAATCCCCCATTGATAATGTAATAAAATGATGTTCCGAAAATGGCTTCTTTCATATATCTGCAACATTAATTGGCTAGATTTTGGATCATTTCAAAGGCTCCTCATCCCCAGTGACCATATATGGCTGCAGAAAGAAGTATGTAGATATTAATTATGCAAATAGTTGGATGTATATACATACACACATAAGCATACATAGATACATACACATACATATAATGCATGCACACATATGCACATATACACATGAATGTGAGTATTTTGTAAAAACCCTTTATCTTTTAAATTTGCTGCATCTACTATAAAAAACACTGTTACGTTGTTCATAATTTATATTAGGAAAGAATGCCTAGAAAGGCTTTACAGTATAATTAAATCACATTTTTTAGACTTTTCATCAATGGCTTATATTTTGATTAAAAGAATGTCAATGTTTGTAGATCTTCAAAGTGAAAGTTGATTGGATTGCATTGCATTGCATCCATTGCATTCCATTTCTTCCTAGTATTTCTTTTTGTGCTGTTTTCTACTTCTTCCTTCTCGTTCATTTTGCTCTATTTCTGTTGTCTTCCTTTTGTCGACCATTAATTCAAATCTCTGAGTTCAAATGCACCTGACCATACTGCCTGCCTGAGACTGTTAATATTATATTGATATAAGACGACATAATGTACACACAGTACATTGTTGATATATGCGTGCTATTCAGGTTAGCAAGTTAGAAGTTAATCAACATTAAAGTTCTGTAAATTTCCCTTATTTATCATATTTAAGAACCACCCAGCTCTCTCACAGAGGGACTCTGGGTGGTGTACGGTAAAATATTAAAAGCATAACATGGTATATAAAATTTAAAAGAGGCAAGGAATGTTAAAAGTTAGGGAGCACTTTCAGGGAGCTAACCCACCCTATGGCTGAAGGTTCCTCTACACACCTGAAGCAAGGGCATAGAGCCATGTTTTTACACCTTTACGGAAGGTCAAGAAAGTGGGGGCCTGCATCACCTCTGGAGGGTGCGGGAGTGTTCCACAAGGTGAGGGCACAGCAGGGAAAGATTTCTTCCTAGACCCCACCAGTCAGAATTCTTTGGTTGACAAGATCCACAGAATACTATCCCTGTCTGAGTGGGTGGGATAGGCTGATGTGACGAGATGAAGATGGTTCCATAGGTAACCCTGCCCCATACCATATACAGGTTTAAGGGCTATAACCAACACCTTGAATTGAACCTGGAAGCAGACTAGTACTCAGTGCATCTCAGGTAGCATTCTTTGGGAACACAAGTTTGCCTGCAAATCAAATCAAAAATTTATTGTCAGTGTACAACATGTGTACAATGAAATTGCAATGTAAAATGTACAAATTTACCACATTTTTTTTTTTACCAGTTGAAGCTCTTGGATACTTTTCATAGTAGCCCCATGTAGTTTTTTTTTCTTCTTCTGAAAGCCATTTGTATAACGTAGTGAGCAGGAGTAGGTAGGACAAAAACGCAAAGTAGCTGCCACAGTTTATTGAGTTCTCCCTCTTCATTGGAACGTTGGAACAGCAGGTGGAGTAGAAGCATTCTAGCCTCACTGGGAAGTGAAGCAAGATGTTATCTTAGGAGCATGTTGTTCATTAACCTGAATTCATTGGCAGTAATGCAGCTGAGTAATTTAAGGTTGACGTCTCTACATCCCCCTCTTTCTTCATATGTTATATGCATTTCTTCACTATGAAATATACAAGAAATGCTTCTTCTCGGGGTCATTCATGTGGTGGTGAACGTGTGGGACAGGCACTAAAGAGATCCAGTCTTCTGTCAGCCATGAAAGCTCATTGACTGACATTGGTCAGCCAGGAATTGGGTACGTCTAGTTTAATGAAAAGAAGGACTAGGGGTGACGTGATAGCGGTGTTCCAGTATTTCATGGGTTGCCACAAAGAAGAGGGAGTCAAGCTATTCTGTAAAGCACCTGAGGGCAGGACAAGAAGCAATGGATGGAAACTAATCAAAGAGAGAAGCAACCTAGAACTAAGAAGAAATTTCC